TGTCTCCCTCTCTCTCTCTGCCACTCCCCTGCTCGTACTCTGTCTTACTCTGTCTCTCAAAAATAAATAAACTATAAAAAAAAAAAAAGTTAAAAAAAGATAAGCAAGAGAAAGAAAATAAATACTCCAAAGTGATTTTAAAATATCAGGTAGGGGGGGCCTGGGTGGCTTAGTCGGTTGAGCATCTGATTTTGGCTCAGGTCATGATCTCACGGTTTGCTGGTTCGGGCCCCATGTCAGGCTCTGAGCTGTCAGCTTGCTTCAGATTCTCTCTTTCTCTCTGTCCCTCCTGCACTCATGTTCTCTGTCTCTCAAAACAAATAAATTTTTTAAAATATTTTAAAAATTATTTAAAAAAATATATAGAGAGGAATTTACAGTTGCCTACAGGTGTTTTATGTGTCTCCACAGTTAAACTGGACGGGACAACAAGAAGAAATTCACAGAAGAGAAGATCTCTGGGGTGGGGGTTGTGCAGGGACTAATTTAAGAATCATTAAACACTAAATATAAAATGAAGAATATTTTTAAAAATCAATCAGGAAATTTAGAAAGTTTAACTTACGAGAAACTTAACCTTGGTCTTGTACAAACCAAAATATTGTGCTAACGGTGTTTTTATATGGTAAACTACTTTTTAAAGACTCAACCATACCAAAAGCTCTTTTAGCTTGGAATTAAAGCTTTTCCTTACCTTGTAACAAAAGCTATTCTGAACATAAACTTTTGAGTGCCCACACACACACATCAAAAACTATAATTGATAACATTTTCTTTTTTTGTTTTAGATATCTTTTACTGTTTTTTCTTTATTTGGATCAGATATTCCTAGTGTATGCGTAACAACTGAATGCTCTGGGGGTTTTGCTTTTTGCAGTTTTTTTTTTCTTTATGGTTAATTTTTAGAATTTCTCAAGAGAGAGAATCAAGGAGAGAGGAACAAAAAGAGTGAGAAGCACCTGGCGTTAGACCAATATGAAGCTGTCATTTTAAAAGATTGCTTATAGTTCCTCTACAAGGGGAGAGAAGAAAGTTTAGATGTAGAGAAACAGAAGAAACTGCTTTACAGCTGGTTCAGACAGTAACTTGGGACCCTGACTATTTTCTCAAGCCACACAATTAGAAAGCCAGCCATTATTAGTCTCCAAGGTACAGAAATGGAGTGGTGTGCTTCCTACATTAAATAAAATTATCTTTTGATAAGCAAGAGGATCTTTTCATGAGGGTTCCTTTGTTTTTTGTTCTAAGATATCTCTTTCTCTTTAAATTTAAATCCAAGTTAGTTACCATATAGTGTAATAATGATTTCAGAAATAGAATTTAGTGATTCATCATTTACATATAACACCCAGTGCTCATCCCAGCAAGTGGCCTCCTTAATGCCCATTACCCATTTAGCCCAACCTCCCATCCACCACCTCTCCAGGAACCCTCAGTTTATTCTCTGTATTGAAGTCTCTTATGATTTGTCTCCCTCTCTATTTTTATCTTATTTTTGCTTCTCTTCTCCTATGTTCATCTGTTGTGTTTCTTAAATTCCACATATGACTGAAATCATGATATCTGTCTTTCTCCAACTGACTTACTTCACTTAGCATAATACACTCTAGTTCCATCAAGTTGTTCAAATGGCAAGATTTCATTCTTTTTGACTGCTGGGTAATATTCCATTGGTATATATACTACATCTTTTTTATCCATTCATCAGTCAATGGACATTTGGGCTCTTTCCATACTTTGGCTATTGTTGATAGTGCTGCTATAAACACTGGGGTGCATGTGCCTCTTTGAGTCAACTTTTAATCATTTGAATAAATACCTAATAGTGCAATCATTGGGTCATACAGTAGTTCTCTTTTTTATTTTTTAAGGAATCTCCGTACTGTTTTCCAAAGTGGCTGCACCACTTTGCGTTCCCACCAGCAGTGCAAAAGGGTTCCCTTTCTCTGCATCCTCACCAACATCTGTTGTTTCCTGAGTTGTTATATTTAGCCATTCTGACAGGTGTGAAGTAGTATCTCATTGTGGTTTTGATTTGTATTTCCCTGACGGTGAGTGATGTTAAGCATTTTTTCATGTGTTTGTTAGCCATCTGGATGTCTTCTTTGAAAAACTGTCTATTCATGCCTTTTGTCCATTTCTTCACTGGATTATTTGTTTTTTGGGTGTGAGTTTGATAAGTTCTTTATAGATTTTGGATACTAACACTTTATCTGATATGTCATTTACAAATATTAAAATATGTCTAAAATGAACAATCTTTTCAATGTCAAACTCTCCCCAAAATGGCCACTGCAATTCCAACTACTGAAATTGTTGTTTTTTTTTTTTTTAATGTTTTATTTATTTCTGAGAGAGAGAGAGAGACCGGGTGAGCAGGGCAGGGTCAGAGACAGAGAGAGACACAGAATCTGAAGCAAGCTCCAGGCTCTGAGCTAGCTGTCAGCACAGAGCCTGACGTGGGGCTTGAACCCACAAACCATGAGATCATGACCTGACCTGAAGTCGGATGCTTAAGAGACTGGGCCATCCAGGTGCCCCTTGTTTTTTTGTTTTTTTTTTTTTTTAATGTTTATTTATTTTGAGAGAGATACAGACAGAGCGTGAGCAGGGGTGAGGTGCAGAGTGAGGTACTCACAGAATCTGAAGCAGGCTTCAGCCTCTAAGCTGTCAGCACAGAGCCAGATGCAGGGCTTGAACCCACGAACTGTGAGATCATGACCTGAGCTCAAGTCAGACTCTTAACCGACTGAGCCACCCAGACGCCCCCCAACTGGTGAAATTGTACCAGTTAGAGAACTAAGTATACAAGTTGGTGGTATTACAGTGAGAAAACATGCTGAAAGTAGGTTTGACCTGAAATAGGCATAGTTTTAAATGAAAAAGAAGGCATGGAAGTGAATGCTCCAAAAGGATGGTGCATGTGTAAGTCTCTTTTTCTGGAGTGTGGCCAAAGGCCTATCAGTCATTACTTCCAGGGCCAGGACCCAACTACTTAAATCCAGGCAGACTAAACTAAACAAAATAGTTCTCAAAGACATAAGGACAAGATCAAAGAAGAAAATTCTTACAAGATTTTAAAATGATGACCTGGGGCACCTGGATAGCTCATTTGGTTGAGTGTCTAACTCTTGATTTAGGTTCAGGTCACTCTCTATGCTGAGCTTGAAGCCTGCTTGGGATTTTCTCTCTCCCTCTCTCTCTGTAGCCTTCCCTGCTTGCACATGCACACATGTGCTCTCTCTCTCTCTCAAAATAAACCAACCAACAAACAAATAAATAAATGTTTAAAATAAATAAATAACATAAAATGATGGTCTAAGGCAAATTGAGTCCAGAAGACGAAAGGGCCAGCTGGAGAAAAGACTTATCTGATTTACGCCCATCTTTCCCTATAGAATTTTCATCTTCAAGGAATAACAGGTGCTGGTGAGGATTTGGAGAAAAGGGAACCCTTACATACTGTTGGTGGAAATGCAAATCAGTGAAGCCACTATGGAAAATAGCATGGAGGTTTCTCAAAAAATTAAAAATAGAACTATCACTGATCCATCAAGTACCACAGGGTATTTATCTGAAGAAAATGAAATCATTATCTCAAAAAGATATCTGCACCCCCAGGTTCACTGCAGCATTATTTACAATAGCCAAGACATGGAAACAACCTAAGTGTCCATCAGTGGATGAATGGATAAAGAAGATGTGGCATAACCATACAATGGATCATTATTCAGCCATAAAAAGGAAGGAAATTTTGTGACAACATGGATGGACCTAGAAGGCATTATGCTAAGTAAAATAAGTCAGAATGAGAAAGACAAATACCATATGATCCCACTTACATGTGGTATCTAAAAAAAAAAAAAAAAAAAAAATTGGGCACCTGGGTGGCTCAGTCGGGTAAGCATCTGACCTCAGCTCAGGTCATGATCTCATGGTTCGTGGGTTCGAGCCCCGCGTCGGGATCTGTGCTGAAGGCTATCTCAGACCCTGAAGCCTGCTTCAGATTCTGTGTCTCCCTCTTTCTCTGATCCTTCCCTGCTCACACTGGTGTCTCTCTCTCAGAAATAAATAAAACATTTAAAAAATTTGTTAATAAATTAAAAAAAAAAAAGAACTCATAAATAACAGAGAACAGCTTGGTGGTTGACAGAGGCAGGGAACGGGGGTGGACAAAATGGGTCTGCAGGTGATCAAAAGGTACAAACTTCCAGTTCTAAGATAAACAAGTCCTGGGGATGGGATGTACAGCATGGTGACTATAGTTAACACTGTTTTGTATATTTGGAAGCTGCCAATAGAGTCGATCTTCTAAGTTCTCATCACAAGAGAGGCACCTGGGTGCCTCAGTTGCTTAAGCAACTGACTCTTAATTTTGGCTCACTCAGGTCATGATCTCACAGTTTGTGGGACTGAACCCCACATTGGGCTCTGCAGTGACACCATGGAGCCTGCTTGGGATTCTGTCTCTCTCTCGCTCCCTCTCAGTTCCTCCCTTGCCTGCATTCTCTCTCTTTCTCTCTCTCTCTCAATATAAATTTTTTAAAAAGTTCTCATCACAAGAAAAAAATTTCTAACTATGTGTGGTGATGAACTAGTACCGTCATCATGATCATTTTGCAATACATACATGTTTCAAATCACTGTGTTGTTCGTCTAAAACTAATACAATATTATACACAAATTATATCAACAAAAGAATTTTTATGTTATAAAAAATTCTCAAGACACAAGACAGATAGACAGACCATAGAATAAGTGTTAGGACCACCTGGGTGGCTCAGTTGGTTAAGCATAGGTCTTCAGCTCAGGTCATGATCTCATGGTTCATGGGTTTGAGCCCTGCTTCGGCCTCTGTGCTGACAGCTCAGAGCCTGGAGCCTTGCTTCAGATTCTGTCTCCCTCTCTCTCTGCCCCTCCTCTGCTCATGTTCTGTCTGTCTCTCTCTCAAAAATAAATAAACATTTTTTTAAAAAATTTTTTAAAGAGTAGGTGTTAGAAGGCTAGAAAGCAATATTACCAAGGAACGATACAAATCAAATCAGACAACCAAAAGCCCTTATTCCTAAAAACAAAAGAAACTCAGTGCCAAAGGGTTTCAACAAAATATCAGATCTCAGTTCAGCATGAGGTTGCCTCCAGTCCATGGACAGGGTGATACCTCAAGCAGGTAAAGACACAGGGATTCCACATGTGCACACTATTACTGACTCAGGTGGTCCAAATAGTGAGGGCTCTACTGAATCTTGGTAAATCTCCACTTCTGTCAATGTCCTCCAGCCAAGACCACCAGGAGCTCACCTGCAATTGAACAAGCAGGGTTTATTTCTTGTTGCTGTTAGGAAGAGCACACACCACAGGGGAACCATGAAGTATCTCAGTAAGAAGGGGTTGGAAATAATTTATTATGAGATATGGGTACATGGTAGATGTTTGGGAGGAGGATTCAAGGAAATGGGGCTTTGCTCTGGACTGAATGCTGTCAGGAAGCAGGGGTAATTCTATGACTGGGCATTTCAACATATGTTATGTATAAGGCAGGAGGAACAAAAGACAGCAAAAGGTGAGATTGGTAAAGAAGCAGCAGTCACTCACATGACTCACATGAGCCAGGACAGGGGGTTACTTGGTCATTTTGGAGGCCTGGACAATGCTCACATTTTTGTTTGTGGTCAAACCTGATTATTGGGTAGGGTCTTGCTTTCTTGACCTTGTCTAATATTGACGTTCTAAAATTGGTCAGGTTCAACAGAACACCAGGGACTAACTGTGAGTGCCAGGCCAGCACCCAGACATCAAGAGCTGTTTTTCTCACAGTCTGATATAATAAAATGGTATGTAAATAATTGCTCAGTTATTATTGTTAGTAAATTAACTGATTAAGTAAATTTGAAATAAAACTAAAACATCTGTTGTGTGATTCCACTCATGTAAGATACCTAGAATAGTCAAATTAGTAGAGACAAATGGTAGAACAATGATCACTGGAGCTGAAAGGAGGGGAGAATTGGGAATTATTGTTTGATGGAGACAGAGTTTCAGTTCTGTAAGATTAAAAAGTTCTGGAGATGGATGGTGGTGATGGGTGCATAACAACGTGAATGCACTTAATGCCCTGAACTGTACACTTAAAAATGGTTAAGATGGTACATTTTGTATTATGTACATTTGGCCACAATTTAAATTTTTTTAATATTTATTTCTGAGATAGACAGAGACAGAGTGTGAGCAGGGGAGGGGCAGAGAGAAAGGGAGACACACACTCAGAAGCAGGCTCCAGTCTCTGTGGTGTCAGCCCAGAGCCTGATGTGGGGCTAGAACCCACAAACCATGAGATCATGACCGGAGCTGAAGTCGGACGCTTAACTGACTGAGCAGCCCAGGCATCCTGGCCTCAATCTAAAAAATAAAAAATCAGGCCACCTGGGTGGCTCAGTTGGTTAAGTGCCCAGCTTTATTTGGAATCTTCCGTCTAAACCCAAGAAAAGGTACTACTGCAGGGGTTGAAGACATAGACTGCCCTTGAATGTAGCTGGAACAATTCCAAACTGTTACAGTGCAAAAGAGGCTTATGGGCTTGGGCTTAGAGGGGGGTGAGCAGGGCAGGGGGGCTGTGATTGTGATGTTGTAGCTGGGAGTACTCTCAATTAACTTCCGTGTAGAGCATAGTAGTTATGTTCCTTCAAAGATAAGCAATACAAACATGCTGATTTGAAGCACATATGTTTATCATTAAAACTCATCAATAACCTCAGCAATTGTTTAGAACTTAGATCTCAGGAGATATTTTTTCAGGGAGTAGTACTTTATGTGACATTGTTTAGAATTGCCAGCATGGTGATGATTGATAAAAGGCAGACCAACTTATAACTGGAGTGGTTTTAAAATTATCTGTAGGGGTGCCTGGGTGGCTCAGTCAGTTGAGTATCCAACTCTTGATTTTGGCTCAGGTCATGATCTCGCAGTTCATGGGTTCGAGCCCGGCACTGTCAGTGCAAAGTCGGCTTGGGATTCTCTCTCTCCCTTTCTCTCTGACCTGCCCTCTCTCTCTCTCAAAATAAATAAACAATTAAAAAAGAAGAAGAACAAAAGAAAGAAAATGCCCCCTCCATGATCCAAGCTCTATGAAAAGCTACCTTGGATGTGGAAATCCTCAGCCCTGGAGGACCAGGCTAGAAGCGTAGGACATTTCTACCACAAGGTGCTCTCCAAGAAAAGATTTCTGAAGGGAGGTTGTCATCCTTGTAACTAACTGCAAAGACGTATCTACAGAAAAGAATGTAATCAGATTAGCTTCCTCTCATCTCCTCAAGGGATATACCACCTCTGGGATAGAAAATGAGAGTGGGCTTTAGAACAGAGGAAAAGAAGTGCCCCAAATTCAAGGCCACCAGTGTGGTGCAGCCCAAATCAGAGGCTCTGGAGGCTCTAACAGAGAAGAACTGCTTTTCTCCTCAACGAGATGGCCAGGGTGAGCCAGATTCCTGGACCCACTGCTCTCTCCCTCCCAGAGCCACAGCAATAACAGTCTGAGCAATGGTGGCAGAGACCCAGCATTCTGAGGGCCTAAGGGCATTCTAGCTACACCAGAACAGATTTCCCCACCGCTAGAGTACTCTGACCATACAGTGGGGCTCTGGAAGCAAAAACAGCTAGAGAAATCAAGGTGCTTCTGGAGATTCTTCAAGCTTTCCAGGGTCCTGTCCTGTAAACATCTTCACCCAAGAATGATCATGGTGACCAAGTTGTGGACCCATCATGGGAAGAAAGACATTCTTGGGATGGTAAGTAGGTCCCCAACGCAATTAATAGGAACATTAAAAGACACGCAACTTTTTGTGGGGGAGGGGTGGGGATGGGGTGGAATCTAAGCTGTGCCTATTCAGCATGATGTCATCCATTTAGTAGATCAGCATGACATCACATAGGTCAAGGTTGTTGTGCACGAAGTTGTTGCCCAGAGACTGGATATATCCTGTGGCATCATAAGGTTAGGTATGAACTCCATCTCCTAAAGTTATTCACTCATTGTTGCTCACAGGCTTTCAAGGCTCACTTGCTACAATGATATGCCTCTTTCTCCTGACCCTGAAGATGGCCCTTCCTTCTTCTCAAGCTGAACAATGTATCTACATTTCATATAATACTTTGTGTTTGGCGTAGGGGGACCTCTTCTTTTCTCCTCCATCTTGGTCATCCAAAGATGCATGAAATAGCAGCCCTGTGGTAGCCAGCCTCCAAGATGACCCCCAGTGGTTCTTCCTTACTGGAATTCATGGTCCGGTGTAGTCCCTTCTCACACTGAACAGTGTTGATCTGTGCAACCAACAGGATGCTGCGGAAATAAGAACACGTGACTTCCAAGGCTGGGTCATAAAGGCATTGCACTTCTACCTTTCTATCACTTGGATCACTTACTTGCGGGAAACCAAGCCACCAAGTCAGGAGGACATTACACCAGCCTTGTGGAGAGGCCCACATGGTGAGGAACGAACCAAAGCTCCTTCCAATAGCCATGTGATGAGCCATCTTGGGAGAAGATCCTCCAGCCCCATCAAAGCCTTCATATGATGTGATCCTGAGTGACATCTTGATTCATGATAGACCCTGGGCCCGAACACCCAGCTAAGCTGCTCCAAATCCCTGACCCACAGAGAAATGATGTGAGATAACATCTATTTTTGTTTTAAGCCACTAAGTTTTGGCGTAATTTGTTACTAAAACAGTCCCTCTTGCCAATTAACTACTCCGAAGAAGCCACCTTCTTATAGGCCAATTTTTAACCGGTGTTATTATTTTTTAATTCTCTGTAGACACACCCCTTATTGCCTGCATCCTGGGCAGAAACTTTCATCACATACCCACTGTGTGGCTACATGGAAGCCACCCTGAATTAATTACTGATCAAGAAGCCAATATCATGGGCATTGTGGCTATGAACAATGTAGGATCCCTATTCCCCCCAGACGCGGGTCCCTGGGTGTGGGTTCCAAGCCCAGTGGAGCTCACATCTCTTGCAGACAACTAGTCCTCTCATCTGCTTGCCCCATTTGAAGTCAAGAAATAACAGTGGGACTAGGGAATGAGAGAGTGGGCTGCCCCCTGAAGACTCCCCACCCATACTCTGCCCTAATCTGAATGATTTCCTACCACAACTATGCATTCTCAGGAGTGCAGATGAGACTCTCCCTCATTTCCAGTGATGTAGAAGAATTCTTCCTATTACTTCAGTTTGACTCTTTCTGTGTCTGCAGAGAATTTAAAAACAATAACAGAGGTCAAAAGCACAGACAGGGAACGCCGCTTTGGAAAAGGAAATCACTAGAACCCGGAGTTACAACATTATCATACTATTAGAAAATTCTCTCTAGAGTAGTGGGTGGCAGGGGACTGGAGGGACAAACTTAAGAGTCAGAATGCACTGCAGTGGAGCTGTTTTTGGCCAACAGAATGGTGATGACCTCATTGTTGTTTCCATGATAAATCACTGTATTAGCTGACTTCTGACCAGGCAGACTATATTAGTTATCACAGTATTTCAATATGCCCTGGCCTTTAACTCTCTCTTGGCCAAGATCTTGTTAGGACACCTTTGTTTACAAACACCATACTATATGTGCCAGGCTCTGTACTGAAAGGAGCAGAATATGCCACCCTCAAAATATGCCTCTTTGGCATAAGGATTATTGAGCTAAAGCCACTTGAAAAACAGCAGGTGTAAGAAAGAAATTCTGACATCCCCTTCCTGAAAGCAGGAGCTAAAACTCCCATGTGAAAGATGGTCTCTCATACCAGGAGCAGAGAAATGTTATTATCACCAGAAACAGGGAGCTGAGGCCAAGAGAAATCTGTACAAATAGATTTTGTTAAAATAATTCTTATCTTTAGTCTCGCCATTTATTTTAGTTACTTTTCCACAATTACCTCTCTTTGTTCTACCTACTATATAAACACTTAGGTCTGGCCACTTCTGTGGGTCTTCATTTTCCTGTGGGGGCTCCCATGCACATGTGAGAATCTATATACTTTTCTCTTATTAATCTGTCCTATGTCAATTTAGTTCTGTGGCCCAGCTGGAGACCCTAAGAAGATGGAGGTGAAGTTTTGCCTCCCTAGACTGCTGTGGTCTTGGTTTATATGTCACAATCCCATGGGACACTACCTTTATCCCCATTCTCTACATGATAAGACTGAGTCTCAGAGAAATCGAGGCCTTTCTTGAGGTCACACAGCCAGTAAGTGGTGGAGCTTGGACTGAAATCTAAGTCTGTTTGAGTTCCAAGCCTACAATGTACAGAGGAATGAGTCACAGATGGCTTCAAAGAAGAGACCCTTGGACTGGTCCTTGAATGATCAGTACAAGTTTATCAGACCCAGGAGGAGTAAAGGAGAGAATACAGTGTTGAGCACAACATGGTTGTAAGATGGGGTTGAAAGGCTAAAACCCAGGGTTCAAGGAAAACAGTGGTGAGGACTGCTATAGGCAAAGGCCAGCTCATGAGGGCCCCTAAATACCAGTCTTAGGGACTTGCAACTTACCCTTTGGGGGCTGGGGGACTCCTGGGCAGTCCCAAGCTGGAGAAACTTAGTCAGACCTGGTATTTGAAAACAATCTGGGGACAACATGGAGGCTGAATTGGAGCAGCAGTTCTCAGGATGGGTGTGGATCAGAATCACCCAGCCTGCTTGTAAAACACACCTGGAACCCACACTCAAAGAGTGTGATTCAACAAGGCTGGAGAGAGGCCCAGGGATCTGCATTTTAACATTTTCCAAGTGATTCTGATGTGAATCATCACTTGAAGAAACACGAATAATCCAGAGGGAGAGAAGCAACAAGGAGACTAATTATGAGGTTGCTGCCAGAGACACGATGAGTCCTGAACTCCAACAGTGGTAAGGAAAATGGAAACAGCCTTACTGCTATGGCAGGATACTGTTTTTATAACGTGACCCTTTGTTTTTCTTTTTTCTGGCAATTCATCCCCCAGCCCCTTTCAAATGGCTAGTCCATGATGTGATCATTGCCCCTCGGGAGTGGGATGTGACAGGACAGAAAACAAGTCTTTCTGGTATGATGTATTGGGCATGTTTCAAATAATACAGGAGCTGGGGGGTGGGGGCGGTTTTAGGTGAATCAAGATTGGCCATGAGTTTGTGGAAGCTGAAAGATGGCTGCAAGGGATTCACTATAGAAATCTGTCTACATTTGACTGGTGGTTTTTGTTTGTTTGTTTGTTTGTTTTTAGTTTTATTTTAAAAATGTTAAGTATTACTGGATTTGGTTTCAAAAAGCACTTAGGGACAAGGAGAGAAATCTCAGATCTAGCTGAAAAGTTCTGAGGAATTCATTAGCAAGAGGAAGTAGGGAGAATTGGCCCAGGAGAAGATGCTCTGCCTACAGGATACTTCTGTGCCTGGAAGAGAGAAAAACTCATCTGATTCATGTATTTGGGGAGAATACAGTGCATGCTCTGCTCAGCTCTGCCCTTCTTCCTCTTAGGATCTGCCACATCCACTGCCCCTTCAGGGCCTCTGGGAGGGAGGCCCAACCAGCCAATCACTGCCATGACTGCGGGACAGGGAGGTGTCTGCCTTGCTCAGGGGTTCAGTTGCCCACACTAAGCAAATGCTCCACCTCGGCCCTTGTCAGCAATAAGGCAATGTCCCAGCCTTCACCCGCCTCTCCTTTGCTTCATTTTGTAGTATGTTTAGAACCCTAGTCAGGAAGACAGTGCCATCTATTACGGGGGGTCCTCCAGGGACCCCCAAAACGAGGGCTTCTGAGGTCTGGAGAAAAGGGAGTGCAGAAGAGGAGGATGGAGGGAAGTGATGAGAGTACACAGGGGCCAGAGTACAGGGCAGAAAACCCAGGAGCGGAGAGGAACACTGCCCTGGGAAGCAGCAACACCGGTCACAGAGATGGCTCCAAGGCACTTCTAGGCAAGAAAGGACCTTAGCTAACTTCAGCAAGGGTCCCACAGGCAAGAGTAGCCAGCAGCAGGAAGACAGCTGGGTAGCAGATGTGTGGGTGAGAACAGCTAGGTCTCAGCAGCAACCAGCGGAACCAATGACATCTCCATGAATGTCTGTGTAGACAGATGACATTGAGAACTAGATCCCCCAACAAACACACACACACACACACACACACACACACACACACCCCCAAGTATTAGATAAGGCTCCAGGGCCCTAAATACAACCCCCAGGGAAGGGGTAAAACCCTCAATTAGCTGAGATTAAGTTTCTGCCACTCCAACAAAATGGGAGTTCAAAATAGAAATTAAGTTGAGTTATAAAAAAAAACTTTAATTATATTTCTTGCACAGGTGAATTTATGAACAGATTCCTTCTTGCTGGAATGAATGTTTTGAAAGCAGAATCAACAAGACTTGGAGGTCAGATGGATGATGGGATAGTAAGGAGGAGAAAGTCTTTCCTCCCTTTAAGAGATTTATTTCCCAAACACCCCAGGCCACTTCAGGTTCTTCAATACTGTCTGCAAAGTTCTCCTTCCTCCCCCTGGTGGTCTCTTCTCATGGCCCCATAACATAGGTTCAATTGTTCTTACCCACTCAATTAATGATTAGGAACAACAACCAGTTGCTCTAATAAAGCAACCTACTTAAAGATATTTTCTATTTACTACCTAGAAAAAACATGTTGTTAGAATTGTACCATTCAGACTGTACTAGAGTCACTGTAACAGTGGGGCTTCTAGGGCCTGAAAAAGGTCAGAGGAACACACTTCCCTTCCCAGAGTGCCTCATCTGGACCCCCCTGTTTCATTCTTCCTTTGTGCTTAGGCTCTACCACCCTCATAGAAGGTCCAAATCTCACCCTGGATTTCAGGACTTTTCACACTGGACCCTAGCTCTCATCCTCTCCAACCTGTTCTTCTCCTCTAAACCCCCTCTCCCTCTTGGGGCAAGTGGGGAGAGCCAGCCTCAGGCTGTCCTGCCCAAAGTTGCAAGCCCATTCTCAAGTTTAGATGGAGAAGCGTTGAAGGAGAAGGAAGGAGAATTGGCTACCCCCCTCAAAAAGTGCTAAGAAAGTCCTTAGTTAGTCTGAGGCCCAACCACAGGACTCAAGGAGAGGAAGACGCCCTGATCTGCTTTCCTCTGGTGGAGCCACTTCTTCCCAGAAGTGGCCAGGATGAGGGTGGTGAGCTGGGTGAGGTTCAGTAACTGCACTGGGGCTGGCTGAAGCTAAAGCTAGCTTCCCATCTGCGAAAGGCCCATTGGTGCCCAACATCACCTGTGCAGATGGAAATAATGCCAAGGTGGTAATCTACTTTGCACTGCCCTTAGAATTTCCCCAGCCCCCCTCTTC